CGGGGTCTTGCTGGCGGGCGTTCGGGCCATGACCCGCTGCTGTCGGGGCCGGGCGCGCTGTGTGGTTCACGGCTGCGGGTCTGCCCTTGGCTTTGTGCGCCGCTGCCGGGGTGCGCGCCGAGAGGTCGCTCCGAGGCCGGGCCCCGTGCCCTCCCCAGCCGGGCTCCGGCTTCGCCCCGGGCGGAGCGCCGGGTCGTTTTGTGGGTGGTGGTGATTTTTACCCCTGTCTGCCATTTACTTCTTTGCGCTGCGTCACGTGACTAAAAGACCCAGAGTCCGGTGCGGGGAACCGACTGGGGCGGGCGGGGAGGGACCGCGGCCGGCGCCGCCGCGGTTGCCCCTCGAAGGCTGTTAGGAGGCGCCACGCCCGGCGCGCAGATACCTCGAAGCCGCATTTGCATTTGCGCTGCGCTTGACCGGCTTTAGCGCCGACTCCAATCGTGTGCGAGGCCTGAGGTGTTTGCCGACGCTCGCGCCCCTGCAGCCTCGCACACACGCTCCGCTTGCCCTCCTTATAGTTTGTCCCCTAAAACTGTACAGGTTTTCTTACAATTTTTTCCCCTTTAAATCAGGAAAACAAGGCATGGGGCAAATAGGAAAGATCACCAGTGACCTCTGTGATGCCACACTGCCTCAAGGAGCTAAATCTGATTTTTCGCGAACTTCATTTACCCCAGTCAAACATTTGGTCCCCGAGTCTGGTGGAACATTGGTTCCAGCCCAAAGAATGACAAAGCCCTTTCCTGTTTTACACATAGGGCTAATGGTACCGCCGGCGCTCCATAAATAACGGCCACTGTAATAATCATGAATTCTGATCAGCACATCCCGATCTGAACTCCTAATCCAAACAAAAGCTTGTTAACTGCATTAAGGCATGATGAGAATAGACGGTTGGTTCTATCTAATTTCTCACTACAGCAGATACATCATTCTTCGTTCCCGTGGTCCAGCCTGTAGATTCAATAATTAAATTATGTACTGCTCAGTAGATGCCGGGAAAGCAAAAGGGAAAAGTATTTCATTGTTAGCTATAGATCTCTATTTTTTTCCCTTGATAGAATTCAGGCTTGAAAGAGCTACGTAGATTAAGACGGTGATTTTCAATGTCAAGTTGACTTGATCTGACTGTGGTGTTGCCATTAAGATGCATTACATTTTGTCCCCCCCCCCCCTCGGTTTTTGTCACACTCATCTATAGTCTTTGGGTCTTCATAGATCCATTTCTCTTCTTACCAGCTACAACCCAATACATCACCAACTGCTGCTGGTCCTTCAACCACAGCGTCATTAAGCTTTCTTCCTTCCTCTGCTCTGTAGAGTCTGTCATACATAATTTAGTTACTTCTCATCATTCTCCATTTTGGTCAACTCACACACTTCCCCCTGCAATAAATTCAAGATCCTGCTTGCTGCAAACACATTACCATGAATGTTCCTGCCTTTCACTGGAAGTACCTCATCTTAAAGATGGCATTATTCACAACACAGGAAACCCCCTGATTCATGGTTTCACAACTTGAGGTTTTAAATATTTTTCAACAACAGAGACCAGGCAGCGGAGGGGTAAAATACATTCCTTGGTATATCTTGCTCATTAACACCTTGTCACTGAGTGTGCTGTAGGTGTTAAATCTCTCTTGCTAATACTTTTTATTTGGGGGCATAATTGAGGATCTTTCTTCACCTACCACAGGCACAGAGATTCGCTATGCTTTCAGCCATGTCTAGCAAGGGGAGGGTATTTCACATAGGCTAAACACCGTGTTCTTAAGGACTATCGTCATAGGCTTTGGCTTTGTTCTTCTGTTAACAGGAGTAGGTTTTTCTGTGTCTCAGCTATTGCATAATTTAGAATATAGTTCCATATGTTGGTTTTTTTTTTGTTTTTCTGTTTGTTTTTCTTCTGGTACCAGGAATCGAACTCACGACCTTGCTTTTGCCAGGCAGGCGCTTTGCCGCTGAGCTAAATCCCCAGCTCCTAGTTCCATATCTTGGAAGTATAGGACTCAGATTTAACAAGGTAGAACTAAAGGTAAAATCCTTCTTGTATGATCTTGGAAGGGAAGATACCATTTACAACTCCTGCCTCCTCTATTTGTGTAGAAAAGGATGTGATGTTACTGGGGAAACAGAGGCAGGAGGTCTGGGAAAAGCCAAACTCTGCATCCAGTTTGTTGTGGGGGAAAAAGACACAGGGCTTGGTGTCAAGCCAAACTTTGAATCCTGACTCCTATGTGACCGTCAGCAAGTGTTTGCATGCTTAGAGTGTGTAAACTCAACCATCCTTCAGTCATTTTTTTATTCTCTGTCATGTGCTAGTGCTGCAAATACCACAGTAAGCAAGATAGACCAATTTTTACCCTTCCCAAATAAAGGCAGAATAAATGAACCTCATTGCTTCCCCAGTTAACATAATAAATATTGAAATATCTTTAATTTTCACTTGTCATAAGGACCAAAAACTTATTTTTATAGCTCAACAATTCTACGTAGGAGGAAAACATCACTTTTAATGTTTTTCAAAGGGATAGTTGTTTATGTTTCCATGCCACATTCCAACTGGGAGAAATTGTTTAAACCTTAAGTAAGGGCAGATTTTATTGTCCAATAAAACTATAAATAAATAAATAAATAAATAAATAAAGTTCATGAAAATTCTAAGAAAAAAATTAAATATATGGTCTCAACAGTGTATACTTTGTGTGTGTGTGTGTGTGTGTGTGTGTGTGTCTTTTTGAGACACAGCCTCACTGTCCAGTTCAGCCTGGCCTAGAAGTTACTTTGTAGCCCAGGCTAGCCTCGAATTTACGGCAATCCTCCTGCCTCAGCCTCCCGAGCACTGGGATTACAGGCATGCACCACCACACCCAGCAACATACATTTTCATATGTATGTTACAGCATGAGGTCATTTGTTTGTATTCAGTGAAAGGCATACAGACCGAAAATTGATATGACAGAATAAAATCGGGATTCTTAAATAGAGGACAGAAAAAAATCTGGACTCCTAACATAAAACTTATGAGTTGAAGCTGCCAATTATCTTTATTATTCCATATCTTCAAACTTATAATGAAGGTAGAAGAGGAAATATTAACTGAACATTATGGTGCTTTGTTAGTTGCTTTGCTATTACATATGAGTAAGTATTTATTGACTAAATAAATTAATAAAAAATAATTGTTATATGCTGAATTCTTTGGAGCATCCAACAAATAAAGAGAAGCCTTCATAAATGCTTGTTGTATAGCTCTGTGCAGTATTTGCCACCTATTTCTCCTTGAGCTTAACAGACATGGAAAGAAATTTGATAGGTGAGACATGGGGCTTGGTGGGTCAGGAAGCCAAAGGAAAACAGAGTTGTTTTCAAGGGGAAAGGTCTCACTCTTCAGATTCTGCTCTTGACCAGAAGCTGACCATTTATAACACCAGAACTGAAGGCAGCCGTGTGGGATGTCTGCTTGTTCACAGTATATTGGTTCGCTCCGTGACTTGCTTTTCCTCTACAGAGCTGAGCTTGTAGCCTCTTTCATATATAACTGGTTGAAGTTGATGGAAATTACATGTCTTATCACTTCTTAAAAGAAAAAAAAATACATAAAATGTAAATCTAAAAG